GTAGGTAAATTATGAGAAATATTTTATTAAAAATTTTGAATATTACTATCAAATAATGATATGAAAAAATTTTTCGTATCATTATTTAATGCATTTACCACTTCTTTTACATCGTTCATCTTTCAGCTCATTTTCATTTCATTCATTCAATTCATTTATTTATTACTCGCTCATATTTATTATTTATATTATTGCTGGCAATTAATACAACAAATATTTTTTAATATATTAAAAATATATTTTTATGTGGATAGTAATATTAAATGTATTTTGCGCTATTGTCGCCTATAATCTTTGGAATATATTTCCAAGGTCACGCAGCAATGATCGAAACTTTATCGATAAACTGAATGATAATCATATCGAGTTCGATCAACGATTCGATTTACTATCAGCTAAATGATCTAATTTTTATCATTTTAAATTTTTCATAGTGGATTTATATGGTAATGATTGTCTTTTCTAAATGTCGTCAATAAAATATTAAATTCATTGTCAAATGTCAACTTTTTTTATAATGTTAAAGAAGAATTTTTTTTTTGGTATCTCGCACCATTACTGGTTTGGCAATTGCACTAATTGCTAGGGTAAGGAAAAACTTCTCGAACCGATGCAATTCCGTTCATTTCTTTTTCCAGCATCTAAGCTCGTATAAAGACGAAATAAAATAGGTTTATTGTTGTAATTACTATTAAAAATAATGAATTTTTTATTAAATATAAAAATTTTTTTAGAAAATATAATAAAAATAGGAGTGAAATTTTTAGTTTATTAGTTTAAACTTTTCTTAATGGATTTTTATGATAATTTTAATAAACGAAAAATGCAAAGAAAAGAGAGAGAAACTCGTTTCGAATTTCGTTTTTTTTTCGCGAATTTTGGCATGAAAATTGGATAATTGGCTCGTTAAACCAAATTTTACATAACATCGTTTGATCATGCGATTTCTTTTCATCATTTATTAAAATTCATTAGCCGAAAGGTTTGTTGATTTGTTTCATTTGAAATTAGAAATTCAAAGAAATTATTGAAAATAATTAACATCATACATGAAGAACTTTGGCGATTTGTTGCGTGGATTAGGAGAGTGACTGAGATTCAATTCCTGCTTGATCCCTAGGCAGAAATCCCAGTTGTGCAGGAAAAATCCTTATGTTGCTGTGTATTCATCTGCTAATGAAGATTCTCCATAAATGGTGAATAACGTTGGATGGCAGAGATGGAAGAATTATGCAGAATTATGAGAATATGCCGATCCGTCTTGGATAAGAATGTGAATAACCTTTATAAAAATTATTGCTAATATTTATTTAAAAAAAAAATCAGTTGATTGATTCAAGAAATTCAGACTTCCACGTTATATGATTATAAAATAAATTCACCGGCAAATGTACAAAAGTAGAGAAAACGAAAAAAGTATATCGATAAAGACTGTTAACAACTTTATCAGCATCGTGGAAAAGCCTCAAAAAATCAACCTGGCTATGGAACGTAACGATGGGTTACGTTGCCCAAATGGGTCATTTATAGGATTTGACTTGAAATTTTGAAGAAAAAGATATGGTTGATTTAATTATTTTATCGGTTAATTGATTTGATGATGAAATATCCAATGACGATTTCTCAAGAATTTATCCATTAACCACTTAGCTCAGCGCATTTTATACGAAATCCAGATTTAAGATTCCATTTCCATTATATGCAATTATAATGAGTTTTAATCGAATAAAATTATTATTATTACCATTTTTGTCATATATTTACGAAAATAAAATTTCCTAAGGTTTTCTTTTCTAAAATGCATTTTTTCTTTATTATTATTATTATTTTATTATTATAATTTATTATTATTATTATTAGTGCTATTAATTACTGTTAATATTACTTACTATCACTATCACTGTTATTATCACTGTTCTTATTAACTATAAAGCTTGTGGACTTGAGGGTCTCTTAGCTTGCGATCGAATTCTCATGAAAAAATATTTTGAGTTGAATTTATCTATCGAACGCAGTATTTCGAAAATGAGGTGCATGGACTGAAATAAGGTTTCCTTCATCAAATTTTGAATAACCTTCCAAATCTTTATTTTTTTGCGCTAATTCTCATTTATAAAAAAATTCTGTCACACCATTTGTGTTTTATATATAATTCGCTATTATGACGATCAGATTTATGGACTAATTGGAGCGACTTGATAATGATAATTCACATGGCAGCTATAAATTGAAAACTAAAGTCATCAGGTTTATGATGATGATTATGGCAAAGTAAAGCCTACAAATTAGCAAATTAAATTAACCGTTTTTAAAATAATAATAATTGCCATTATTACTAATTATCATTAATTATCATTATTATCAAATAATTATTATTCGATTCATTTATTCATTTTTATTATTTTCAATATTTATTATTTATTTATTTTTTGTTTTGACCTTAATTTCTTGCAAAAAGATTGTTTTAAAATGAAAATATGAGAAGAATAAAAATATGAGAAGAATTTAGGAAGAGTTTAAAAAGAATTTAGGACTAATAATTGATTTCTGAATTGATTTCTGAATATTCTTAGTGATATTCATCTGATTATAAAAATTCGCTTCTGAACTTATTGGATAGTTCATTAGAACTCCAAATGATTAATTCTGTGGCGCAAGCGAAATTTTTGTTATCATCCATTTTTAAAAAATCTTTTTTCGTGAATTTTTAATGCTTGAAAAATGAGTAGTTTTGTCATGTTTGTTGAAATTTGTTACAAATATTGCGTGTGGCAGTGGAATTTACTGAATTTATACTGAATTTACTGAATGTTATTTTAAAAAGCCTTGAACGGTTATCGTCGAAATCATGAAACTTTAACAAATCTTCGTCATTCTTCCGACGATAATCACCATTTCTGGTTTGCTAAACCAAAATTTTTGATTTTCAGTATCAAAATTAATTGAAAACACATCTGTCCAACAAACTATGTATTTTTTAATATTTGCAAAATCAATCGCAACACGCAGAATTAACATTCACTTATTAATTTCTATTATCATAGATAAAATGCTAGATTTTTAAAAAAATCTGAATAATTTGTTAGGGGTAGAATAGAATAGCTGAGCCAAAAATCCAGGTGATGCTGGTGACTCGCCTTTATTTCTGATGCTAGGGACCCTCTAGAATATTTGTCCTGTGCGACAAACCAGTGGAGCGAGGCTAATCAGCAATGGTGAGTGCTCTTTAAAAAAATTTGGCTAAACAACGCTGATCGTTCATTTAAATGAATGCAAAAACGAGTTGTTGAAAGATAACATTTCTTTTATTTGAAGCAGTTATAGTGTTCAGTTCAATTAATGTTCTTTTATAGTTTAAAATGAAATAAATAGGTTTTTTTCAAGCGTAAAATGACAACGCCAATTTTACTTTACGCCTTCCTGATTTATGCAAGTGAAAACCTTCAATTTACAAGGTTCGATGCTTGAAAGTTACACAAATTAAAAATTATGTATTATTACACTAAAATTAAATGAAAAACAGAAATATGGGAGCGAAATTTTTCTGGGAGAACAACGAGAGACCATTTCCGCTCGTTTTTAGACTGGACAAGTTTTGCTAGGAAATCACTTGACAGTCGAAGTGCAAATGGGTCAGAATGGGTACTTTTGAAAGGCAAATTTACTACTGCCGTGAGTGAAATTTACTACTCTAAACGAAAGCAACAACCTATTGAGCCATTCTTTTTTTTAAGAGCACTCGTCATTACTGGTTAGGCTCCGCTGGCTTCTCAGGTTAAACGAATATGCCATGGATCTCTTGGCAATAAAAGTAAAAGTGAATCGCCAGCATAATAGGTTTAAGAGATTAGAATCAAATCACTTTTTGTTGAATAACAAAAATATTTTTTTTCGATTTCGATCATAAGAAATATTTTAAAATTAATGATTATGACAAATGAAATTTGTTGATCTATAAATGTGATAAATAACTGAGGTGATAACTGAGGTGCAATTAAAATAAAATAACATACTGGAAATTTTTTTTTTTGGTTCCATCAATTTGCCTAAAATATAAATATAATGGGATTGCCCTTCTTTTAATAAACCATTCTGCGTTTAAAGATGGCTGACGATTAAACCATCATGGAATATATTTATTCCACCTCTCAAGTAACACATAGTTTAGTTCATCAAATATTCTGCTTGAATAAATTTTATTACACACCGAAAAAGGACAAAGGCTACTAGATAATATAAACTAAGGCATAAGGCACGAAAGATTTACAAATGTGAGGTAGATAACGGAGGTAAAATTAAGATGAAACTTATTGAAAGAAGGAAAAAACTGAGCATTCGGCACCAATAACCTTTCACCAAAAATCGAAAAAAATTAAAAAAACAATTAAACAAATGAAAAAATGATTCAAACCCGGTACTATAAAGCACTATAAAGCACTATCAAATTGTTTTAGGTTATAATAACCAGGACAACTTCAAGAAAATTTTAGAAAAAATCAGCAATTAAAATATAAAAAAAGATAAGAAAATTATTCAAGAACTACTGGAAAAAGATAAACTAGCCCGTCGACAAATAAAAAAATAAATATTACCCAGATAAACCAAAATACATGAATATGACTAAAATAAAATAAAGCCGTATAAATACAAATATAAATTATATAAAAATTCAAAATTAAGAAAAACGACAGTGGAATTTCGCTAAAAGGTTTATGCCTTAATTATAAGAAAATGTATAAGTTGAAGAAATAGATTCGTGAAAAGTATGAATTTCATGGGAAGAGTGGTCAAAAAGTACTGATTATATATAAAAATTAATAAAAAGCCTCAAACAATACAACAACCAAGCACTACGGTACGGTAAGTTGAAAAACTTGAGATAATCCGCAACTAAACACTCCAAAAATCTTTTAAAAATCCACCAAAAAAAAAAAAATTCCATTTTTTTCGACCAAAATGTCGTTAAAAAATTTAACCAAATTATTTGAAAAAGTGTAGAATCAATCGTCCATAACTTCTTTTAATAAATCGTTTACGGTTTTCTCATCAATGATTATGAAGCGCTCATGCTTTTTGGAGAATAAGTATATATCAGCATTCGTTATGTCCAACCATAAAGCATGCAAATGTATTTGATTCTTTGCTATTAAATCTTTTAGAAACCCATGCGACGTTATATTTTCGACTTGCTGTAGAGTGTTGATTTGCGACAATATATCGACAATATTTAAAGTATTCTCTGGATCGATTAATGCTCGAAAACTGAAATAATTAAGAGAGTCGCTTGAAAAGTCGCAGTATCAATCGTATAAAAATCATTCACCTGTGAATGGGGACAAAAAACTCTAAGCCCATTTGATTTCTTGAATAACTTGCTAAATTTCATTTCCGATTTTCTTGCTAATAGCCTATATTTCACCGCTAAAAATCACCGCTAAAAGAAAAATGATGAAAGGCAACAAGGCAGAGAAAACTATGAAAAATAAAAAATCCATCACCTGAAAACATTATCGTTGGAAGCAAAAACGATCTTGGAATTGCCTTTTTTCAATCGTTCTTGCAACTTGTCAACACTTCGATAACCGCGTTTGCGAACCCACTGATGCAAAGGACTTGATAAATCAAATTCATGCGGATTTTCATATATATTTCGAAGTAATTTCATGGCCTGCAATTAAACAAGCATAAATAAACGATATTTGATTATTGATTAACATCTAAAATAAACACGGTTTTATTTTGCAATATTTCCATTAGATAAATAAAAGAAATTAAGAAAAAATCCAACCAATTATAGAAAATCATTTTTTTAAAAAAAAAATTGATTTATATGATCAGCAAGACAAAAACAAAAACAAAAATAAAGCCAAAATAAGCAAGGAAAATGAAAAGCCTCGTGGCAAAAACTTTTATTAGCATTATCTACAATATAAGATAGAAGAAAATTGCCTTTAGTGGGTTCTTCATGTAACCAATTTAAAACTATTTGCGCATGATGCGAAGAAATTATCAAAAAAATGAGTAAACGAACTTTACAATCAGAATGACCGCACACCACTGCATGTTTTATTTTGCTTCGATTCAGCGTTAAATCTAATGCAGCTGGTTCAGTTTCCGCTAAGATTTCTTGGCCACACAATCCTACAGATTTTTACAGTTTAAAAATATTGAAATCTCTTTTTATTACTTCATTTTGCCGACAACTAATTGTTGAATGTAATGCAGTGAGGCTTTTTTATTTCCCTTTAATAGCTGAATCCATTTCCCAGAAAGACGAAATAAAATTACAACTTTTTCGATATTAACAGTATGATTTTATGAAGACTTGCAATAGAAAGGAGCACTTCCATAAGAAAAATCTATAAACATACCAAAAGTGAGTGAATTTGGTACCATGTTGCCCGCATTTCGAACAATATACATGTCACCAGCTTGTGTATGAGTCAAACTAAAGTTTGTTGACTCTCCATTAAAATTTTGGTCAAAAAAAATGAATAAGCTAGGTTTCCTCAGAAATTAATCAAGAAATTCCACTAAATGAACGAAAAGCCATCAACCAAATACATTATTCGTAAGACAAAAATTCGAAATAAAGTAAGAACTTTAACATAATTGTAGAAGCCGAATAAAAAAGTTGAAGATAATTGATTATTCCGTAGAGAAATGAATTATTTAATCGCACTTTGCTTCAGCAGTGGGTATTTTAAAAGCAGGTTTCCCTCTTTTATTAGGGGCGGTTGTTTTAGACCAAAACAGGCTCGGTTCTTTGATTAATGATGGCTAGTACTTGCTGAATAAATGATACGATGTATCACTAGTGGTATATTTTCGATTGTAATAAGAAATCATTTAGCATCAGACACATTTTAATGTCAAGCTTAACCTTCGCTAATGGTTTTAGATTGATTGTGGATTAACGAACGATTAATGGCATCGCTGCTACCAGGCCCAGATTCCCACCTCACTCTATTCATTTACAACTTACTATTCATATAATTAAGCCATGCTGCTCGTGAAAATTATTTGTACAAAGTGAATAGATTGTCCACGTTTGAGATAATCGTCGTGATTTCAGATAACTTGAAAGGTAATAAAATTGGTGGATTTCTCGTTCATAAAGATTTATTTATGCAAATTTATTTATTTATGTGCGAATGAAATATATTTGGATTTCTTCTAGTATGAATAAACCTATCCTTAACGTAAAATGAGATAAATAAGAAAATCTCCGTCCATACGCGATTCTTTAATAGGGAAACATTATACCACACAGTGCGGACAGTCAAATCAAAAATGGTATCCAAACGACTACTTAGAATGAAAACATCAAAAATGTCCAGAAGGATTCATTAAAAATTTTTTAAAATTCTAAAAAATAAAAAAACCAACTTCAAAGGATCAATTCGAGCATCCATACATGTAAAAAATACGGCGACTGGTGGGGCACATTTATTCTCATTCAATAGCTGAAAATGGCTCATCATATCGCCCCTATTTTTCCGCCGAAAATCAACAATTCCATTAAGGAGTTTAGAAATTCGCAGTGTTTTGCTTAAGAAAACCATTGCAGCGATTCCTTAAAAGATTGAAAGATTACTGATATATGGTTTGCTCTCGCAGTTCAATACTGATAAGAATCGTTTTTGAGATTATTAAATTTATTTTGCAAATTTTTGCAAAAACATAAGAAAATTAATGAAAAGGCTGATGTTCGCTTTGAAAAATCGACTACAGAAAATCAAGCAACAATTCGAATCCATTTATAGAATATTATTTCTCATGAGCCTTTACTTTATTTTATTATTCTAATCTGCCTATCAAACCACAATTTGGAATTACCAATAAGATTTCGAAAGAGTTTTATGGCCTTTCCTCTTCTTCATAGAGTATTTCCGATTTGATCGAGCAGCTGGTGCTCAGATTAACGCTTTATTTTGGAAAACCCTATTTCGAGACAGAATCGTACGTGGGATGAGAACATTCGAGTGAATGTTGCTAAAATCATCATATCCAACTCAAATTCTGGCAGAAGTAGATCAATCATTGAAAAAACTCCGAACGGTTTATTATTCATCTTTATCAATGATATTGATCACTGATAAATGTTTCTTTCACCGAGAATTTTATGAGTCAAATTTATAATAGAGTAATTTGGCAGGATGTTAACAATAACAATGATCAAAAATCGCACTGTTAATAAACGCCAAAAAAGAAAACAATTAAAAACAAAATTTTGGAAACAAGTGATCCATCATGTTTCCATCATGTTTAATCAATTACAGTGTAGAATGCACCACAGTACCATCCCCGCTTGACAAAATGCCTTTTGAATCTCCATTTTGCATAATTTTATTTTTGAGGAGTTCACACCATTTTTAAGGTAAATTTGCTGGCCTATCGGGTCAGAAAATCTGCCAAAAACTCACTTCTCAAAAGAGCACAGATATAGACGAATCAGTAGCACCAACTTGTTCTTCGGAAAACACACTAACCTCTGCCGGAACGAGAACCCCCGTCCTCGCGCGTCAAACAGAAACGACAACCCAATGCGCCATTCCACCCCACTGCCTATCAATTCTAAGGCTTTTTGGTAAGTATAGCAAAACATAATTTGACGTAAATTTACGAGGGCCACGCAAATACGTCAAATCCCTCAAGAAAAAAAAGATCATAAAAAAATTTAAGAAACGCGGCCACAGCCTATATCACCGCTGTTTCCCCTCATAAATTATACTACTTGATTCTCAGTTTGCTTAATGGAAAAAAAATTTAAGAAACGCGGCCACAGCCTATATCACCGCTGTTTCCCCTCATAAATTATACTACTTGATTCTCAGTTTGCTTAATGGAATTTTGAGGAAAAATATTTGACCATTTCGATGATTGCTCTTTAATTGCAACAAAAATATTTCAGTAAACCAAATATTAACAAAACGAATCATCTAAACCGATTCATCTAAGTTCATTTCCTACTAAAAATAACTAATAAATACCATCTAACGATGCCCTCCTCTTCCTACCGCTAAATCAACTAATATGCAAAAATTTTTAGATTTATCAACATCCAATTAAGCGAACGAAGGTCGAGTTTAAAGAAACAAAGAACAACCTTAATTTATCCTTAACTTGTGCAGTTCATTTCCGCCCCATCGATGAATCATAACCGTCTAAACTTGATATTAACATATTATTTGTATATAATTGTTTTGAAATTTTTTTTTTAAAACGAAAATTCAACTAATAAATTGAAAGTTTTTATAGGAAAAAAAGAAGCAGTTGAGCAGTTGACAAGCTTTATCTCAAGAATAATATAGAATCAACACAGATTGACACAATACTCATGAAAATGATCTCGTTTCTAAATTTCTAATAAAGAAGATTTCTAAACTATATCCTGAAATCAGTAAATCAATGAATATTTTCACTGTATCGACTCTTATGTCAGCGAACTCAGTTTAGATAAATTTTCTAACAAATTTTCAAAAATTTTTAGAATTGACGTTCCACTTTTTATATTTTAAAAATGGACTATATTGAAGTCCTACCGCTATATATAAAAAAATAAAAAATTGAATAGTCAATTACATAAAAAAAGGATATCCTAAAAATAATAGCAAATGATTCATTATTTACAATTTCACTAGTAATTATAACAAAGATGTATTAATTAAGCGATTAATTTAACCAACTCAATTGAAATATAAAACCCTATAAGAATAATAATCGATCAAACAAGGTTATGATTTTTCTTGTTGAAGCTGTGTCATAAATTGTTCTAACTTCTCCTGGATATGACGCACTTGTTCTACAAAATTTCTGATTAAATAGAAAAAAGAAACAAATCATATTCAGAAAAATAGAAAGCAAATAAAGATGGATAGTGACTTACTCAATTCTTCCGCTAATTCAACTCGCCTTCCCGTAAGATACATTTTTTTCTTTTCATTATCGTGAGACCAATCATCTAGCACATCCTGTAGTTATAAAATAAAGTTATTATTTTATTGTAATATGAAGCCAAACACTTAATACGCTCAAAATATATTTGAGGTTGCAATATTAGCGACAATATCGATAACAACTGGAATTGAGAATTTTCAAATAATTGCATGAATCATTATAAATCACAATATTTCTAACTTTGATCTCCTTTTCAATACGTCTTTGCTCAGTATTGGTAATTTGTTGCCTTAGCGCATTACATGTTAAATTCAGCATTTTATCGATACGATAAAAAAGAATAACAGCTTGACAATCGACAACCGATTCATTAAATCCAGCTTTATAATGTTGATATAATCCTTGGCACTCACGCGCGGCCTTAATTTTTATTATTAAATAAAATTTTTATGCAGCATCTTTCTTTTTTTATAATATTTTTTATATATAATATATTTTGTGGAAATATATCTAGAATTCCAAATATTTTGAAAAATATACTAGGAGCTGCCGTTCCAGAAAATTTTCTCTGAATATCAGCTTCCAGTGCTTCCGTACAGTATCTACTGATACATCAAAACCTTTCGCTTCCAGATTCCTTCTCACGACAGTTAAATCGTCATCTAACAAGGATGGGGCATGATCCTAGAAAAAATTTAAAGAAGTGACTCATAATGGTCTCATTTCATAAAGAATTTCATTATACAGTGAAGACAAAATTTTCTATGAGAAGAAAAAAAACTAACAGGATTCTGAACCAACAACTGTTTCAATTCAGATTGCACTTCATAAGAAATTATATGTTCATGAGTAGGTGACTGCCAATAGAACCATTTTGACCAGAAACCAGGACCATGACTCTCATCAATAACCTTACGAGCCTTTAAAAAACAAAAATGATAAATATCAATGAGTTTTTGCAAAAGTCGAGCTTTTCTCCAAATAAAACTCTGCGAACAAGAATAACCCCAAGTTAAACCTCATCAAGACGATCTTCTACTGCTTTTGCCATGAATTCCGCCGCTTTATCCCATGCGCGTTTGTTCGGTATCAATCTATCTTCCATAGCATTCAGCTGTATCACACGCTGAAACAGAAAACAAACAACAGTGGAGAAAATTTAAAATCTAAGAATTTAAACTGCAAACATCGATATCAAATTTTTTTGAGCCAAAATGAGACAATTTACCAAATAATCGAGAGCCTTGTTATCCCACTGATGTTCGCCCAGAGATGCATCAAGTACAGCCATTTTCAAACGATCGAACAATACATCATGGTTTGGCCCATGTTTACCTGATTCCACTTGTTGCCTGAAAACCTCTGCCAAAGTTTCCCAACCAGCCTAAAATAAAAAATATATAAAATATAAAGAATTTCTGATCATTTTTCAGCAATAATTTTGACTGATATTAACAGAACTTAACGATACCTGAATTGATTTAAGAGGGAGATCTTTGTCAACCCAGTGTTTCAATTTAATGTCGATCAATGTATTGAATGTACCCGCATTATCTACAGCAGACGCTGGCATAAATATTTGATCAAAGATGTGGGCAGCAACCTGAAATAAAATGGAGTGTAGATGGATTAAATGGAGGGTATAACGATAATGATAAAATAACCAGTGTAATTCAGCAAGTAGTGCAAAAACGATATCTAAAATCGGAGCAACTAAGAATATTTCTTAATTATTAAAAAAAACCATGTTCCACAGGCGTTTTTTCAGCATATTTTCCCACTGATCGGCAGGGACAAGAGATAAATTGACAATTTCGTCTAAAATTTCTCCTTTTGCTTTTTCGAATAATTCATCACGATCAAGTTCTCGTATGCGGGGAAAAGTATTCTTCCATTCAGTTTCCAAATTAAAACGATTGGCTCGAAAAGCGTCCGCCTGAAAAATTTACAACAAAATCAAAATTTTGAAATCTTTATAATTGTTACAAATTGATAGCACGACTCTTTCTAATTTCTTCACTCCTTCACTTGATAGCAGTGAATCAATTTTTTAAAAGAATAAAAGAAAATAAACTTGTGACTCTATAGAATCCTTAACCATCCTCCAAAAGCAATCAGATACAGCAAAAGACATATTACGAGTAGTCATCTGTGATGGCTTTAATATACCATCTCTGAAGATTTTTTGCTATGAAATGATATATCCAATCAATAAATATTTAAAGCATAGAAACTAATAACTTTCTAAAACAATAAATTTGAAGCACAAACTTGAAAAGTCTAGAATTGGCGAAAAATTCTTCTTCATATTTCAAAATAGATTCAATGCTTTCTGCATTTGAACCCTTACCAGTCACGACAGCAAAATATCCGAGTGCTTTCATGGGGAACAATTTTCCTTCTAGAATTTTTTTAATTCGATCAGGATTTGCATAATTTTGCTCAGCCAAATCAACCTAAAATGAAACTCTCAAATTTACATATTATTAACATTGAAAAAAAACTCCTAAAAAAAATAATTCGAAAACCTTAGTTAACACAAGAATAGTCCTCTGTCCAAGTGGATCGATACTGCTGACTAAGTCTGTAACATTACTTCGTTCAGCATCAACCGAACCATCTATAACGAATATAATCAGAAAGTGAAGAAAAAATAGACAAAAGAAAAATGATTTTTCAAAAAAACGATAAATTGAGAAAATAAAAAACATTTTAAATTCCAAAATTCGTAAAATTTATAAATATATGAAATAATATTAATATTAAATATATTAAAGTTTGCGGGAATTACTCTCTTTATGCACTTCAAGCCAGAAATTAATGTTGGCCTGCCTTTAAGAAAATAAGACATTTACATTATTTTAGGCTCTAAAAGTGATTTTCACAGCGATGAACTAACCTTGAATGCACAAAATTATAGCATTAGGATTTTCCATATAATTCTTGCACATTCGGATAATATCGTCTTTTGTTTCTTTTGCCATATCGACAGTGACTGTCGAAATTACACCAGGCAAATCAACAAGCACCATACGAGGAAGTGATGGACCTGTGATATTAGCGATAATATATAAAAATCAGAAATTAACAAAGAATCAGAAACAAAACAGCCGCAAAGAATCGAGATATACCTTTGACAGTAAGAGCAATCACTTCATTTGAAACTGTTTTTCCTTCTTCAACAGAATTACGCATCCGAATTTCGATTTCATTACGTAAAAGCTTTAATTCAGATTCCTTTGTCAAATCGAATTCACGATTACTGTCTTTGAACTGCGCCACATGATAAGGTCCTTCGCTTAACGTTACCTTTAATAAAACATTATTTAACAATAAATAAAATTAAGACCACTGCACAATGAAGATAACTTTTGAAATAAACAGAAATAATGTTAAAGCGCCAGAAATAGGAAAGATTTTCATGAAAATCAACAAATACCTTAACAGGTGCACGAGTCATCATTTCACCAGAACCTCTAGGAAAAATGCGCGCACGAGCGACCATTTCCAATACGGAAGTTTTACCTTAAAAAAATTAATCAAAAATGAAATATTAAAACAATATATATATATAACAAAACAATACAAAACAATGAATCTAAATATATTTTGCTGAAAATTTCCATTTTAAAATCGAAATATTTTAAAAATCTATTAAATAATCTGATTTGCCCAATCTGCCCAAAATTTTGGAGCAAAATTAGGAATTTCGGAAAATTTTTTAGTAAAAAAAATAGTAAAGGAATCCGATAAAAGTTGAAAATTTAAAAATGAGAAATTCCATATTAACTGACCAGCACTTTGATCGCCGACGACAACAACACGAGGAAGATTATCGGCAGTATTGTAGGAAGAGTCATATTCATTTAATAAATCCAAGGCTTCGGAATACATATCAATCAATGATCTCTGAAAATCAATGGCAACATCGAATGGTGATTAAATGAACACAAATTTAACAAAGCAGAATCTTAAAAAATTAAAGAATATTTCTTTAGAATACCTTCATTTTTTTAAGCCGTACAGTTGCTCCTTGGTCTTTGAGCAATAATCGCTGTTTTAGTACTTTATTCTCCTTCTCAAGCGCTTCTAATTCACGCTGATATTGACTCTAAATTTTTTTTTTCAAAAAATCCTCATATAACTATGACTTCTATAACTTTAAGTTAAAGCCATAGCGCTGATAAAGAGAAAATAAGAATAAAGCGAGGTATAGAAAATAACCTGGGTTTTCAACATTTCATCTTGAAGTTTTTGAATTCTTTCTTCCTCACTTAACTGTAATGAATAATTGATTAATAAATAGTTATAACTAAAAAGACAATATAAAATCTGAAATTAAAAATTCATATAACCTTTGCATATTCACTTTCTTCTTCATCTTTAGCTTCATTCCTACTGGGTGAATAAAATTTTGTTGCTATCGATGTGAAAAAATTCGGAGTATCTGAATTATTTTCTTAAAAATAAACCAATGCAAGAACTATAAATAAAATTTTTAAAAAAGAAAGCAATGCATCCTGATAAAAAATTTAATAAAAAGTACGATCAAGAAGAAGAGTTAAAAATTTATAGTCCTTTATTTATAAACCCAAAATCTGCCAAAAAAATCTAAATAAATAATTTAAACACAGTAAAAACAAAAAAATTAATAAAAAAAAGCTTAAAGATGAAACAACAATTACCTTTGCTGAACTCCGGTACTATTTCTGAAAAAATTTTAGCAAGAAATTGAATTTTTATGAAAATTGAAATTAAGAAAAAGAAATAAAATTTTGAACTTTAAAATGAATAAAAGTATTCGATATAGTAATATATAATTTATTGATTAAATCAATAAAAAATTTAAAATTATTAAAATTTATTTACCATCTTGAGCCATAAAATCATAAGCAGAAAAATTATAACCACCAGCATCGCCATTTGAATTACCTAAAATTAAAACAAATGACAAATGACTTCTGCATAATCTATGGCCAGAAAAGACTCGAATAATCGGTTAATTTCAAGTAATATTAGAATACTGATACTGTTAATACTGAAATCGGAAAGCATAGAAACACCTCAATTTAATCATTCAATCTAATCATAGCCAAAGAGTCTCAAAAAAAGTTGTAGAAATTCATAAAAAATCATATTATATCAGTGCAAGCATAATGGCTAATCCTACGGGCAAAATTGTCTTTAAATCTTAGCTCCCTCATATTTCAAAAAAATAGTTCCCATAGCATATTGCCGAATGCCGATACATTATTTGTTACTCATGAAATATAATTTTCCCATAATTCTCCTTGACCATCCTAAAATTTCTGCTATACGTTTTCCATATCTCCCATCATTCTAAAATGTGCGTAGGAGAAGAAGAGAAAAAAATAAAAATAAGCAGCATTAAATAGTATTTGAAGCGATGTTAATGGTAGAGATTAATGCGGGTTAAAAGACCGTAAGATTTCATCTCCAATTTTAAGAGTTTTTCTCAAAAGGTATATAAGTTAGTTCGGAACATCGCATCGCAGATCTTGAATATCCTGTGTCCTAGAATGGTGTCCTTTTTGACAGTTATGATGAAATGTAAACAATGCTAAAATAATATGTTAGCAAATGCAGCGAGAACTGGGCTCAGGATTAATGTAATAAAACGAAAGCCGTTACAATGCATAAAGAAGTTAAAATAAGGCTAAGCGTAAAAAAAGTAAATTTAAGAAAATATTACATTTTATCCATTTTATTACTATCCAGTTCCAACAAAAAAAAGAAGTGTGATTTGATTAAATATTAAAGAGGATTAAGATAATTTTAGAGGATTATAACCTTTCTCTTTATAATTCTATTACTGGTTCGGCCCATGATCACCTTTACATTACATTAGCGAATCTCTTGCCTATATATCAGGTAGTATCCCTCGAATTTAATTCCTATGACAGGTTACCTCCTACCAAGGGGTAAGTAACTGAACTTGTGATGCGAATCAAAACTGCTATTTTATTCTACCATAACACCTCTAAAGAACTGTAACAAATTCTGGAGAGTCGGTCAACCAAAGGACTACGAAAGTGCCTATAAGATAAAGGAAATATTTCAAATGTAGGCATGGTAAAAGAATATGAAAAGAACATAGAGCGAATTCGAAGAGGTCCCGAGGAATTTTAAAGACTGGCAGACTGGGAAGACTTTTACAAAACTTAATATTTTCAAGCAAAGTATAACATATACGTAATGCGCATTGAAACAGCAAATTATTATTTAGATTAGACAAAAGAAAAGATTGATTGGTAAGTATGAAACTTGCCGAGCAATAAGAACAAATTCAGACCTTCAATCGGTCCACGATGCCACATATTTTCAAAACTATTTATGCGTTCTTGCCAAACATCTAACCATCGTCGTTCTTTTTCCCAGAAATTCGCTTCAATTTTTTTATATTTTTCAGAAATCTTTTCCAATCGACTTTCGTCAATTTTAAGCCAATCCGGTAATGAAATTTCTGGCAGTGAACGTTTCCATTCTTCATAACGATTAGATACCGCAAGACTACCACCAATAAAACCTGTTGCAATCCAATATCTTAGTTTTATTACATTTTTTAATATACCACTGACGAGCAAGCGACGGCTTTCCACAGATAATGAGTTCTTTCGAAGAATCCTAAAAATAATAATCTATCGTAAACGTAACATTCACTCAGCAATATGAAACATTCAATGCACCGCTCAATAATAACAACAGGTAAGTGGTACTCAAAATAATGGAGAGCAAACAAAGAGAAATATGACCCTTCAATGCTACAATACCGTTAAAATTTAATCCAAAATTGTTAAAATTAAATAAGACTTAATTCAGCTGTCGTCAAGTCTTTTTTTTTTCTACGGGCCTCCTTCTTAATGAGTGCCAATAAAATTCCAAAAATTTCGAACATAATAATAAAAATTTCAAAATATTTATTAGATTCTCCCACCAAAAAATTGCCAACAAACTATTAATAATGAAACTGACCATCAAATGATCACTTAAAATAATTTACTACTATTCAAATAAAATAAGGATATGTAAACCGAATTTGGGCTGCTCATTAAAGAGTCACCATAGATTCCAGAGGATCCTTAGAGGATAATCCGACTAAAAGATTTTTTGTAGCAGAAAAAAAAAAATTACCTTTTTTGTTGATTGTGAAAAGAAAAAGACCGATTAATGATTCTAAAATAATAAAGAAATTTCGGTTGATTTCGTGATGCAAAATATCCTTTTTCACTCAGAGGAAATATTACGAAATTATGGTAACTTCCATCAGCAAACATCCTTCCACGGCACCCTCCTCACCTTCATCCATCAACAATGTTCCATGAGGGCAATTCAAAAATCCTTGAGGCGTTAAAGGTCGGTCAGTCATAAGATTCGGTCTTGAGATAATTCGATACATCTAAAAGTCGTACCTTGCAGCGGTGATTTTGGTGCTGCATTTGGAAAAGGATCCGTGTTCCCAATGCTTGAGGAAGTCGCGTCATTCTTCGCAAAATATTCAACCACTGTGTTAAATCTACTTCGTTAAAAATGACATTTGGTAATTGCTTCACAAAGGAAGAAAGCTGTGGGATTTTTCTACCAGTAATATTTACATTTTTAAAGCATTTCTGGATAGAGGCATTGCTTCCACTGGCATACCGGACTATACAACTTTTGCTATAGGACACATTTAACAATAGAAATGCAGGTAAGCGGCCAGCGCAACCTGGATCCTCGAAGCACCAGTTTGACTTCTGCCAGGAGCAGAATTCTAGCATCTACTTAAGAAATGAGAGCAACAATTCACTGAATCATTCTGCTTCTATAACTACATCTTTCAGTGATTTCGCTCAAAATATTATAAAAACGTGGAAATTTATATTTCAATTGCTATATCAAAGTTATATTAATGCGGTCCGAGTACCATATAATGACGATTAACCCTACTTTGTTTTGCAAAATTGAAGTATTGACTTGTAGGGATATTCTCAGTGTTTCCGACAGGATTTCCTTCAAAAATCCCAACAGTGCTGGCGACCATCCATCTGTATTTCTTCCTTCGTGGTTCGCTGGTAAAATCTATTTGTTTCGGCAAGCCAGTGGACCTAACTCATTTCACTTGTCATTTAATCCACAATAAAATAAAATAAGTTTATCGTTGGGAAGGGGCGTACCATACTGATTTTGATTTTAACCATGATTTTTATGCTTACGTAAATGTTGCCTTTGTCTTTTTTGACAATAGTCTTTCATTCTCAGTTGTGGTCCGCTACCGTTTTTTCTTAATGGCCCTTCCCATTTAATGACTTATGCAGGCCTATCCTACATTAGTGAGAGGGAAAGAGGGAAAAGTTTAAATAGAATGCGACCATGAGCAGTCGACCCATTCCACCTATACATGCGATTACAGGCTGCTAAGAAATTTTACTGCAATATCAGTAATCAAAATAAAATATAAAAAAAACATCAACTATATATTCTAAATGATTTCAAATTGAGAAGATACATTTTCAAACATATTTATAACTACTCCACGAATCAAATAAAAAATCAAATACGAAAAAAAATTTAAGGAAATAAAGAAAAGAAATACTACTTATAATTGTATTCGAAAAATCAATATGAAAAAACCGAAAAATTTTTGCCAGATGACACCACTTCACTTCACTTGGCTCCACTTGGCTCGATCAGCAATACCGCTATATTCGTTCTCTAAAAGCGAAAGCCATTAATGATTTTTCTCAATTCCGAAAATTTATTACTTGAAAATTTTTATTATTCTCAAATGATTGTCTAAAAAGACTCACTTTTCATTCTTTTAAAATTTGTTCTGCTAGCTAATAATTCAGCTCGCGAGTTAACAACTGGTTTTGAAACCTTGTTTAGAGAGACCAATTTGAAAGTACTATTTCTGAAAAATTCAAAAATTTTAAGAAAAGAAAAATCGCTGGCGTTTTCTCCGAATCTCTAAATCATGAATCAGAAATAAGAGAAAAGAGTAATGAAAAAAAATCTTGAGAATAATCCGATAAAAAAGTTTATATCATCCTGGTCCAGCTAAGGCTTAAAAGAAGTAAAAAACTCAATTTTTTAAATTTTATGACCTGATAAAACTGATAAAATTTAAAAGAGAAAAATAATAAAAATAATAACCTACCCAGCTTTAACAATGAGCTCGCCTTTGCTTTTTTTTATCAACTTTCTTCGTTTCTTTTTTAATTTTGCTTTTTCACGTTTTTTCTCTTTCATCTACAACTCGAAAAAAAGAAAAAAATTCCTTTTGCAGAAAACGAATAATAAAAATCTCAGTATTCGAGATTTTACTTCCGATTTTATTCATTCGCTTCGATTTGCCTTATCAGTTTTTATTTAATACCTTATTTATATTCAAAGGCTTCGAATGATTTCTTCTATAACCTAAGCATATCAAAGGCAAATATTAATATTTTTTTATTAATTTCACATAACCATAATTGCAAAGCTGATGGGTCTATTATGGAAATTTAAAGAAGTAATAAGGTATCATAATAACTATTGCTTACTATTGCTCGGGCCAGTTCTTGTGCTTCCCAAATAATGGACTCTGTAATGCTGACAATTCTATTAATGAAAAAAACTATTATAAAAGTGATATTATTAATGAAAGGTCTATTCCGTTAAAATATTATTTTCTATAGTTTTTAAATAAAATGATAAATTTTACTAAAAATTTTGATGAAGGCTCAATACGCTGAAGAGATTCAACGAAATTTTTCGATGATACTTCCTCTGGCTGTTCTTCTTCACCATTTTCAATATCCTCGATAAATTCAGCACTGTTCTCAACTTTAAAAATTTTCATTCCTTGTTTAAATGTGTGATAAAATAGGCCTTACCTAACAATCTTAGCTAATGAAAACAAAAAAACTACCTGGATCTTGCATTTCTATCTTTGATTCAATAATTTTTCAGCTCTGTCCAATTCCGATTCAAACTGATTTACAAGCCGTTTTTTCTAAATTTTAATTTTATTAAAATTCAATTTCGAAATCAAATTCTCCTTGGTAACTTTCCTTAGCAATAGAAGTCAAATTTATTTATTCGGCAAAAGTTTCATAGTTTTATAAAAACTAAAGAGAAAAAAGGTCTTGAATTGCAAAATTTTTTTGAAAAAATGTTGCTAACTATATGAAATAATTTTTTAACTATATGAAAATTTTTCAAAAAATGAAATAAAAGAAAGGATTAGAAAAAGAATTTTTCAAAGAATAAAAAAACAAATGAAAATAAAGAATAAAAAAATAAATAAAAAATAAAAATAAAATAAAATAAATAAAAAAATAAAAGTAAATAAAAATAAAAAATAAGAAAATAAAATAAAAATAAAAAGAATAAAAAACAAAAACTCACTTCCTGAATATATTCTACTAAACGATCAATATTCCGAAATAATACGTCAAGCTGACCAATCTGTGTATTGATAGTTGCCACTGACTTATTAACTGTTTTAATATCGCTAGAAACCAGTTTGTTTAAAGTGCCAAGTTCTTCAGCTGCAACCAAACAATCCTCAATTCGATTTGCTAATTTTTCACGATCAAAAGCCTAGAAACTAAATTCATTAATTAAAAACTAATATTTTTAATTATAATTTAATTTAATTAAATCCGCATCGCAAAAACGAAAAAAAAATAAAAGAAATATTGATAACTTAAAATAGAATGTGATAGTCATGCGCATCCTAAGTTTATTTATCCTTAGCCCTCGAATAAAAGTAAGTAATCTACTATTCAATATAGGCGAATGCTGGTAATTTCTGTGTTTAAAGAAATTTTAGCAGCTGGTGAAATCAAGCAAACCTGAGAATAAATTTTAAAGAAAAGGTACCCACCTCATAGGCGAATGAATTTAAACAGGTCTCAACGTTCTTTGCAAAATCTCGAATATCTTTCTCTACTATTCCTGTTGATGGCCCTTCGTTTTCTTCTTTTTTCATAAGATTTTTATCTAAAATTCAATTCCACTTTGAATTTTACGATTTAAATAAAAATGTATATCAAATCAATTGTACCAATCAAAATATAATTCTTTCCGGAATTCTCACCTGTTTTCATTTTTATAGCGTTGCTTCATTTTTAAAGTACCATAAGCTTTTATTAATTTTATTAAAATATTATAAAAGGAATAATCCAATATAATTAACGGAACAAATTTAAAAGATTTATCATTTAATTAAACCAAATTTCGAAATGCATTGAAAATGAACTGGCAGCAAAAATCATCTACGAAGGCACATTTATAAATGAGGCACCAGCAAATGAAACAAAAAAGAGAGAAACGAGAGATAAAAAAATGAAAAGATTTCAAAAAATAACATCCTAAATTTTAAACAATTTGCTTATATTTTATATATGTAAATATTATTTCTACAGATAAAGGCACACGCATGAAAAAGATGGCTTCCGCTAGATGGGATCAAGCCTGAGGCTTGTGATTTTTTCTAGTATACACTGGATCGAAACATCCTAAAAATATCACGCGTATTTAAATAAATATTCTTTTCTCTCACTTACCAGGGAAAATGAAAAAAACCAAATCTATTATCAAGCTTATTTAAGAGATCGAAATGCAAATATAAAAATAACATTCGAAACTCCTTAAATACATATTAAAGGATCCTAAAAGTTCTCACAGTTCTATATCATTTACCATTGAAAATTTTCAGCATTTTTTTCTAAAATTTTGCATTCTTAATCCTGGCAAGTACCACCACGCCAAACATAGCTTTACCAAAATGATACATTTAGACTTACTAGATTTGCACAAAAGTTTCTGGAAACAGTGAACTGCTGGAAGACAAGATCCTATTATTTCCGAAAATGCCACTCGTTGAGGAAAAGAGCGAAAAAATGCACACTGAAGAGAACATGGGAGAGCACTGGAGAGAGAGTGCATACAGATGGAGAATGACTCTGACGTGGAAATGCGAAAAATTTTGTTAATGAAGCAACGCAAAGACCGAAGGACCAAAGGATATTCGTAGGAATGAAAAGTGTAGATAGGCATCTTCACCAATTAAACAGAAATAGACAACCGTTCATAAACCAAGAAAAAGGGAGAAGGGAGGCAGATCAGACGTATTAAAACCAAGTAAAAGTCATATTATAATAATCTCTTCGAGGCTTTGTTTCAGGCTTTGTGTATCAAGTGGACGCCAAACTACTGCACCATCACATGGAATCCATAAAAAACGAAAATCTGCTTCATAAAAAAATTCGCACACTGACAACCTATGTCACACTGGTAAGAATATAAGAATATAAAAACATATCATCATTTGACTAACAGTCAATTCATGAAATACCCATTTGTTATTGATGCAAACTCCATACGATACCATTCAGGTTCTTCCATAATTACCTCTCGATTTCTTTAGTGTATCGTCTAGAAAATTTTGGAGCCGGCTGCAACTTGGTGCATTTTCAAAGTCTTTCCAGATCTGAGGTCAGGTCAGATCTGAACTATTCTTGCATCGTTTTTTCCTCAGATTCATCGTTGACTATCTACCTCTGTCGTTCGACATAGAAATTTTCTATACCATTACCATTATTACTATTATCATTATAATTCATGAATGTATATATCATAGACAAAACTATCGTGTACTGCTACTCATCTTGAAATAAGTTATAAGAAATCAAGAAGAATAACAATATAATTAAACTAGCATAAAAATAAGCAGCCCCAAAGCCACATAGCAAAAAATGCGAATATTTTTAGGATAAGCTAGCATAATTGCTTTCCCTATATTACTTTCAGCCTATTTTTGTGACTTACAAGATATTCTACTTAATGTTGCAGTGATTATCACAATAAGATTCATAAATTTCCTCTAATAGAAGTGAAAGAGTGAAAGGCCATTCAAACAAAAACAGCTAGTAATTTAACCGAAAAACAAGAGAATTATCATTTATTTTTTAATGTTATCATTTCCAGTTTTTATTGTCGTACGAATGTATGATCAAATTGCGGTTTCTCGCGCCTTAATACAAGAAAAATTTCTAATAATTAAGACTGCCTGTATGGTGAATATGAGTTATAATGGGCATTATGCGCATTCGGAAATTTTCGCAGTTCAGCAATATCAGCATCGGTATCGCCTGACAAAAGAACCTGAAAAATCAGTCTTCAAAAAATACATATAGTCTCTTAAATAAAAATAAAGTAAGTTAAGGAATATTTTAAAAATTATCACTCTTTTTATTCTACAAGGTGAAATTTTATGATTTTATCCAAATAGCAAATTTCATTAAAAGCAAAATCCAATTAATTTCTGAGATCATCCTATAATTTTATCTCTGACGAAGTAATTACTGACGCAATATATTCTTCAAAAACATTTTAAAGTCGGTGGATACTGTTTAAAGAAGACAAAGAATTTAAAAAACACTTCATAAATCACTTTTTATGATGAAAAAAAATGAAAACCTCTTTCAAGCTAGCGTATTTTAATCCACTAGTAACATGAGCGTAGTTTGCCGAACAGCATATCAAAAAATGTACGAGACCTTTAATAACAAGAAGATTTGCTATTAATGCGACGATAAACCACACAAAAGCACTTGAAGATAGCGCACAAAATTGCTGCACATCACCACCACATAACACAAACGACTGAAAAATTAAATATATTTTAAAGAAGCACTAAAATTATTTTAAAAACATTCCAAAAAAGAATAATTCTCGGAGAAATGAAAATTTAAATAATAACCGATGATGAGATCCTCCGAATGAAAGGTTGGAAAACAGATAAATCAAGGCAATCCTTGTGATCATCAAACGCAACGGATGAGCATAAACCTGTGAAAATGTAATAAACAAAGGAAAAAATTGCAGTGATGGCAAACGCCAATAGCCAAAACAAATTCAAGATATAAGAAACAATTAGAGCTACTGCATTCGCCACACGGCCACCAAAACGACTTCGTGGATTTCTAAAACACTTTTAAAATAACAATCATTGCGTATTATTTTTGAAGAATGAAAAGCCCTTTTGAAAAATTGTATGATTTACTGAACTAAAACTTGAAACTTAAAAAAACTTTAAAATTTAAAACTTTAAAATTTTTGATATGAAAAATGGAAAAATGAAAAAATGAAAAAAACCTATAGAATTCATTCCTTGTTGAACCCGTACTCAACATACCAATTATAAGCAAAATTATAGAAGCAACACACATTATGATTGCAACGGCAACGAAGAATACCTCCATCTGCAATTTTCACATTAATAGCTAAAGCATAAAGAAGCATCAGAAAGAGTCGCTACCCAAAGTTTAAACAGAACAGATGAGGTCGATTATCACGAACTTATCAATTTATCAATTTTAAAGCAATATCCAAGTGTGCATCGATGGTTTAATGGCAAGATAATCGCTATGGAAGATGGTTCTGAGAGTGGCCACATTACTTTACTCCAGACATTACTTTCATTACGTTCTGTCGAATGGAGAAATCAAAAGAGATTACAGTGAGTTGTTAATTTCATATCGAAACGCCAGTGTTGGAATTGCACTCCTAGTAGGACTCATCTATATTTCTATCGCTAAATAAATTCCTGGAAAAATTTTTCTGATTCAGAGAAAACTCTGCCCGTACGAAAAAATCTGGATTGGTGTAGACCAGAAAAAACTTTTTTTAAATTTTTTTAACTAAATGACATCCTACATCCAGTAATATATTCATATAAACAATTAATTTAGCCACTTTCCAAAATATGCTAAATTGGCCGGTTTGGCAAAATCTCAAGCTATTAGTTATGGACAACAGAATGGCTCAGTGGGTTGTTGTTCAATTTGGAGCGCCGATGTTGAGGTTCTATACTCCGCAGGAGTAAACCTGTACAAAAATCCGAGTTGTGCTGGCGATCAGCAATTCAATTGCTAAGAGACTCCCTGGCATATTTGTCCAATGTCAAGTGCGACAAGCCAGTAGAAAGACGCACGCTATGGTGAAGGTTCTTAAAAAAAACTACTAGTTACAGAAGCCAATCCAATAATGTTGCAATAATTTTCAACATAATGAGGAAACATAAAAATTTGATATAAATTAATAAGTAATAAAAAAGGAACCTTCGCTAACCAAGGAATATTGTCAATAGAAAGAGATCGTCGTGCTTGTTCAACAACTGCGTTTGATGCCCAAGCCATCATTATTGCAAATAAAACAACTCCAAACCCGCATATTAATGATGCCATCAAAGATGCATAAGGCACACGCGCGAGAAAATCGTCATTAGCAACTTTCGTCCTCGACAAACGTCGATCAGAAAACCTCTGACCTAAGCCCGCAGGCCGGCCAATATTGTGCTTTTTTCCGTAAATTGTGCTTTTATTTAGACTGAAAAGAAATTAGAATGTAGAAATATTCCCCGAAAAACTTAACTTTTTTCCACCATTATATTCCACCATTATATTTTTCATATTTGTTCAAATAAATATGCTTAACCAAGCAAGGCGACATTTTAATACGCTTGAATAGTAGTATAATATATAAAAATTAAGATCAATGGTTAAATCTATTAAAAACAACAAGAAGAAAGGAATAATAAACGATCGATAAAAAAAGCTGCATAACTATAGTGATTAAAAATATTAAGGGGAACCACGATGAACCACGGTAAACCATAGTGGACCACGGTAAGCAACAGTGGACCACGGTAAGCAACAGTGGACCACGGTAAGCAACAGTGGACCATGGTAAGCAACAATGGACCACGGTAAGCAATGTGGACCACGGTAAGCAATAATGGACCACGATAAGCAACAGTGGACCACGGTAAGCAATAAGGGACCACGGTAAGCAACAGTGGACCACGGTAAGCAACAGTGGACCATGGTAAGCAACAATGGACCACGGTAAGCAATAATGGACCACGGTAAGCAATGTGGACCACGGTAAGCAATAATGGACCACGATAAGCAACAGTGGACCACGGTAAGCAATGTGGACCACGGTAAGCAATGTGGACCACGGTAAGCAATAGTGGACCATCAAAATATAATCTTAATAAAATTTTTTACTCGGTCCAACCGTCCTCTTTGACGTCCTTCGTGGTTGCAGTTTTTTTAGCCTCGTTATATTTTTTAATCACTTCATCGAGACTTGGTTTACTCGAGATTTTAGCTGAATTCGTCGATATTCCACCGATAGACCTACTCCGTTGCAACATCGAAACGATGCAAGAACAGTGTGATTAAGTATTTGGTCTAAGCAAATGGAACAACGAGTAATCATTGGCCACAATAGCAACAAAACAAACAAAAATGACTCATATTAGTTCCCCAACACCATAAAACCTACGTTTATCCCTATCCAATTCACTATGATTCATAAACAATCCGAGTGATAGTGGTGGCAGCTTTCAGAATATTCGCTCCCGTTCAGCTATATCATTACGAGAATTTCGCAAATCATTTTATTTATGATTTTATTTCATTTTAATTTGATTTGGCTTAATTTATAGGGGAAGTAGATTTGGTTTGTTTTGTAATTTTGATTATTGTCTTTGGTACTTTCATGTAGGATTTTAGAGGATTTAACTTAACGGTGAATGTTTGGAGGTGCCGCACTTCTCGCAGTTTTTATATATACGTATACACTCTCGCCAGGTGGGAGGGGAGTGGAAGTGGGGGGGGGGGGGTGAGTCTTTCGTTTTGAAGCTGATTGCATAGTGATTCTAGAGAGGTTCTGCGAGACGTAAGAAGGCATTCCGAGCTGCAGCAGCGCGAGAGCTGAAATTTCTTTCATCTTTCACCTTCTTAGTGGATGTGAAAATCGGAAGTGATGAAAGTCTGACACTTCTTGAACCGTTGATGAATATAGAAGCGTCTGGTATGTAAAATGGAAAGTGTTTTTTATTATTTGCATTGGTTTTGAGGGTGTTTTCTGCGGTGCTGTCGGTACTTGGTCTATTGTCTATTGCAACTGCTGGCAAAAAGGAGTATCGTCCTCTGGACTCATTTGTACAGTTCGCGTGTACTGGCAAGTGGTGTCCGTAGCCCATTCTATCACATAGTTGAAAACTGTATGAAAGGGGACATATACCAGTTCATATTGCAGTTCCTCTAAATCTGCACGCATTAAATGCTTTTAAATCCTAACAATGTTTTGGTCTCGGTTAGAGCCATGTTGATTTGCATTAAAAGCAATTGCAAAGTCGATGAAGTAGGTTGTTGATGCCTGAAACGATGTCTTCGGCTCGAAAATTCGGTTGGCATAGCCGCACCCTGGCTTGGTTCGGCTTGGTTAAAGCGAATGATCGGAAGAATGATTGTTGTAATGTACCAAAGCACAAAGAGAAAAACATCAAATCAAATCGTTCAATAAACCGCATCATACAGTAGCTTATTCCTTAGTGCCTTGAAGCAGTTATGACTTCTCGACATTATTCTGAGGATAGGCGTCCAGGCCATTAGGTTTAATCATTTAAGTTCACACTGAATTTGCAATATTTGATGGAATCAGATTTTCCGTAAAGAACCATCGTGTATGTCATTTCAAATCCTATTCAATTCTTTTCAGTTTTAATTGGCCTAGATTATTTATAATGGCATTTTCAGAACTGAGATGGTGTATAGGTTGTTTTTTTCTCGATTTATTCACTGAATTTGTGGCATAATAGGGTATTTTACATTTAGAAAGACAAAGAAATACTTTATACATTCAAGGAAAATTTCCCTTCTATTTTTAATTCTGTTCGAACAATTATCTTTAAAGCTCGTTTAATAATTATTTATAATTTTAGTGAATTGTCGAAAATACCATTAGAAATGAACCTTCAAATTATCTTAAGTTTATTTTAGGTTCAGGCTGAATATGACGGAGCATTTTTTCGAGGGTATTGTTTTTGAATGCGATAAGGAGAGAGTAATTTCAGTTTATTCGCCTCTTACTGGCCTTGTTGAAGTGAAAAAAACTCAGTTTAGCGCGAGAGACATTCGGCCAAGCTTTGGCAGATCATGCAGTTTTCGTTTAAATTTTAAGGTTATAATATTTATCGGACCAAGAAGAAGATCTAACCTAATAAAAATAAATAATAGGCTATTAAGCGGAGGCAAATTTTCATTGTATCTCCTTTTGCTTTAATGACATTATTCTTCTAATTGTTCGCATCATTTTTGATTTGTTTTAATTTCACGTAACTAGAGTCATTTTCAAGTTTTTTGGTACGGTATTATATCCATTTTTTTCATTACTTTCCGAAATTATTTGATTTTTTCAACATTCAGTGGAACATTTGAGATTTTAACTTTTTTGATATTATGATAATGAACAGCTGAGTTGAGTTAAACAGTTGAGTTAAAATTTTTAGAATGGTTCATGTTGTGTGACAACGCTTCGTATATTGAGTACATCGCGACTTAAAATCATTGAATCGCCCAGTCTTTTTTTTCAAAGTAATTTCACGTTTTTATTTTTTTGCTTATATTTGTAAACATGGAAAGGAATAAACTGCAATGGATGTTAATAAATAGTGAGTCAATGAGTCAGTGAGTCAGTTAGTGAGTTAATAAATTTTTTTACAGGTATCGGTTTCGTCGTCAATAAGGTAAAACCTGGTTGCATATGGAGTGATATTCTTGGATGTATTTATGTCGAAAACGACGCTTTGTTAGAGGATTTTGAACTATTTGATACGATCAAATTTACTGCCTACTGCTCATCAACTAAGAACATATTATTTAAAGTAAAGTAATTTAAAGTAATTTCTTTTTTTTGCATTTTAATACGTTTCCAATATATTTTCCAGAAAAGCTAACAAAATTCGAGTTTGTGAATTCGCTAAAGCAGACAATAATTACTTGTATATATGGTTAAATATATCTAATATGTTCTAATTAATATTTTTTGGTGCTCTAGGCAAATGCAGTGGAACGTTCTTCCGTTTCTACATTCCAGTCAGAAGTGCTGAAATTCAAAAGGTCAGCTACAGTCAATTCAGATAACACAATCAAAATATCCGGTTCTTTATTTAAATTTCCTTTCACATTGTTTTATTAAAATTCTAAAGATTCATATATTGATTTACTTCCTTTGTATTTTGTTTTTGTCATTTTTGAAATTTTTACCAAAAAATTCCTTTATTTTTCATTTATGGAAATTTTCCATTATTTATAAAAATTATTTTTATCAAAATTTTTTCGTGAATTCAATTCATTATTTAATTATTGATTTCAATGGCATATTACTTTTAGGACTCAAAGTACACCTCAATCATCATCTGGAAAAATGGTGTCACTTGAAACAGCCCATAGGAGAAGATTACGATTTCAGTAGAAAAAATGTTTCTATCATCTATTATCGTCAATTTAAAGATCAAAATATTGATGCAGTAGCATTATTCATTACGAATCGATCTGAACTTGTAAAAGGCTTCGTAAGTAATGTGAAATATTTATCAATTTCTGTTAATTTTCTCTTTATCAATCGTTTTTTTAAGAGTGCTCACCACTGCTGATTAGGTTTGTACGTCAAATCAGCGATTCATTTAGCGATAGAAATATAGTCACCAATTATCTTGATTTTTGAAGAGTAGATTTACTCTTAGGACATTCAGCATTCAGCGCTTTGAACTGAGCAACAACGCATTGGAGCTATTTTACCTGCTTTACTTTCGCCTTCGACTACTCTCCAACGAATCTGTTACTTTGACTGAATTCAAAACCGAACTATTCTGGGTTCTTAGTGACATTCATCCTGTTATTACGCATACAATAATATCTGAAAACACTAGAATTAAAATCCAATCTTTTTTTTTTAAGAAAGAAGGAATATTTTCGACGGAAAGAAGTATGGATTCTCGTATAATGTCTTTTGATATATTCAATGCCGTCGGAGGTATATAATTTTACCATTTATTCATAGTATGTTATGAATTAACCTATATTTTATGCCATAAGTGCATTTTCAATATTAATTTCAATTTTCTATATTTGATATTTTTTAATTTTTATATTCTGATTTGAAAATGAATAATTTTATATTTTAATGAAAATGAATTTAAATAAAAATAATTTTTTTTGCTATAATAATAAACTCTTTGTATAGACGAACAGAGTAATTTCAACTATAAAATTTTAGCAAGTGAAATTGAAAAGGATTTAATTATAGAAGTAAGTTTTTCCCTTTTTTTCTCTTTTTTCTCTTTAAGATAATAGCATTTAAACAATCTTAAACAATCTTAAACAGTCTTATGGTATTATTATGGTATTATTTGGTTGATACATTTTATTATTTCTTATTATACAATTTTTTTGAAAAATTTTAAAAAATCAAAAAATTTTTATTGATAGTCGAATCATTTTTATTTTATGATTTATTAGGCAATAAAACTGTGAAATCTATTTCAACATTTATCTTTATGTAACGAAATAATTCTTTCTTCTAGGAATCTTCCAGTAAAGACCAATGCAAGCAGTATGAGCAGTATGACGAGGCAACCTATTCTGAACATACCAGTGTACGTTTAAAATCTTAATTTTGCACAGTTGATTGAATATCTTTAAAAATTTTTCATAGAAAATATTTATTCATTCAAGTGAAATAGAAATAGAAATTAAAGTTTTTTTTTTTAGCAATCTCTTCTTTAAACAATTTGACAAGATTAAGATTACTTGCGTCATTGATTTCATCAGTTATAAAAAATTCATTTCATTTTCATTTCATTTATTCATTTCATCAGATACAAATTATTCAATAATTATTTTTTACTAAATTACAATTTATTCATTAAATTTTATTCATTAAATTGCAAATTATTCATTAAATTATCTTCGTTAGACTGCAATTTATCCATTAATTTTTCTTTATTAAACTAAGTTTTTTCAATTGATCTCTTTGAAAATTTTTGATATTCACCTTTCAACTGTTTAAAAAAAATAGCATAAAAATAATTTTTCAAAATATTTTATATTTTATAATATTTCGAATTTAAGAATATTGAAGACAATGACGAATGGGGTTTAGATGCCGATATACTCGATCCACAAATGTTGAAATATATTAATGAACGAATACCAAAGGGAAAGGTTCTTTTATTTTTTTTCGTCCGAGAATGAGATAGAATTTATATTGGTTTTACTTTTTATTTTGCGGATTTAAAAAATGGGAGAATGTCGAGTATTTAATAATTCATTGAGAAATTAAATTATAAGAAATGGATGATATTATTAGGTGGAAATAAGTCTAGACAAAAATATTTTCAACTTATTTATTATAAATTTTATACAACCTCATTAGTTGGTTATCGTTATTGTTTTCATTATGTTTTTTTCATTTTTTTTATTTTCTCTACTTTTATTCATATGGATTTCAGAAATCGTTTAATTCCACTAATGAGATGCAAAACTTCAAATCAAACAATGAATCAAATATTGACGATTGGAGTCTGAGTTCACAGATATTTGAATTTATCTTCTTGATTTATTGAAAAAATTCATTCTTTTTGATCAAAAATTTTTGAATTTCAACTGTTTGAAAAAAATAGCATAAAAATAATTTACCAAATGGTTAATATCCTGAAAAAATCTTATTTCTTATATTATATTTTAAAAAAATATTAATTCGAACAAAATTCAACATTTAAATCATTTGAAAGATTAGCCAAAAATTATTGTTTCAGCTGCATCAAGGAGGATCTTACGTGAGGATAACGCTCAACAATCGTTTGATAAAAAGGATGGCGAAACAAATAATAATCATACTGGTATAATAATTTTAAAACTGCGTTAAAAGTTTATTGAGAGGAAAATCGTAAATTTTGTAAATTTTTTCAAAATTGCAGATGAACAGAAAGTGGATCGTTTATGCACAAATTATACTAGGATGAAAATTAGGAATGCAAAATTTTCGAAATGCTTTGTACGAAAGAATAAACCATTTTCGAATATTTTTCTTGGTTTTTATATTTATATCCATTTTCAATTAGCTTAACAATAATCAGTTTGCGCTTCTTTCATTTTTTATTCTCATTAATTTTTATTAAAATTGAAAATGAGTTAAAAGTTTTGCTCATTTTACCTAAATGCGCGATATAAGCTATGGACTTTTTGGATTTTAGTTAGTTTCTACGTTCATCAATGAGTGTTATCTGTCTGTTTTATGTTTTTGTTTTTTTTTATTTATTTTTTTATTTCTGTTTTTTTTCAGATTCTCCTTTATATCCTGGACATAAAAATATAAGGAATTCTATTACTATTGTGCCAGCTTTACCAAATTTTAATACTGTAATTATGAATGATAGTGGTTGTGATGATGTACGTTTTTTTTTATAAAAAACTTGGTTCAAAAAAAGTTTTGTTTTAAAGCTAAAATTATTATATTTTGTATTCAGAATTCCAAACATTCGTTTTTTCGTGAGGTGGATTCGTTTTTTGGAATCCTTTTAACTGATTCTTATATTCGGGCGTATATCTGTGCTTCACGAAATGGTAAGTCGATAATTCGTTTCTTTTTTGCTATCATTTAATTATTTCTCTCTCAGTTGTTGTGATTTTTTAACCAGGAAAACTGTTTTATAGTTTCCTATAATCATTGAATGATCAAATATAATTATTTGTTTTAGTTATTTTTATGAAAAAAAAAATTTAAAAAAAACTTAAAATTTATTTTTCAAATCATATTTTTAAATCTCAAATTTTTACTGAATACCATTTTAGCACCTTTTCCAGATCTTTTTGTTCCACATCAATACCCCTCTTTTTTTTGTTCCATCTCATTAGTTATATTCTTCGCCTGACCAGACGTTTCTATATCTCCTCCTCGTATCATATCATCTTCGAAATTCCACCACATTCTTTTTACCAAATATCTTTTTAAGCTTCTTTGGCAATATCATTTCTACTTCTATTACAATATTCTAACTCTGTAGGTCTGGCCCTTTACAATTCTTTTACTTCTTTAACTATATACTCTTTAACTATGTACTCTTTCACTTTTACTAGAATTTTTTTAAATATTTCAATTCTTTTTATTTATATTTAATATTTATTTGGATAATATTTACATATTATTTACCAATATTATTTATCCAGAAATTCCCGTATTTTTTAAAAGTCCACCATCGCTGTTTTCTTTTGCTAAAAACTTCTCTGCTAATGTCATTTTGCCTTTTTATTGCAACCCAGTGATGGGGATATTATGGTGCTTATTATGGAATTAGACCCTTCGATATCCAATGAAAATTTTTCATATTTTGTAACCTCCTTAAAGTCTTTTAGAAATCTCCAAGGTATCTCTGTGATTTTTTCTCATACCCGTTAACATTGTCATTTTAAAACTATAGTTGGCATTTTAATTCCGTCTGAATTTTATTTCTTAAACCTGGTGGCATTTTATTTGTCTTAAAGCTTTCAGAATATATTTTTAGTGTTTGGCGCTTATGTATAAAGTGAATGTGAAATTTTAGGAAATTTCAAGAGATATGCTAGAGTTTTTATTTTTATCCATAATCCATCCATAAGATCAGTAAATTTAGTAATGATCAATGCCAGTGCTGAGTAATTCTTAAAATTTTATACATTTCCAGGCAGTTATCTTTTGCTTGCAATTTCCGATTTTCTTTGTCGTAAAAGAATAACAAATGTTGAATTCTATAAATGTTTCCCCGAAAAAAACTTACCTGAGGTGAGCTTAATTCTTTTTTTGCCTACTGCAATAGGAAGCTGTTTTTTTTTTAATAATTTATCGTTTAGACTCTATCCGAATTAGAATATTTTGAAATAATGTGTGCGTTGATTTGTGACAGGCTTATGCAGATTCATGGTTTCAGTCAAATACTTCGTTTCAATTTACGGCTAACACCTATTTTAAGAAAGATGCTACTTTCTCAATAATATTTAGCGAAACATCGAGTTTTACACTTGTCGACCTATTTTATAAAACATTGTCTGTGAGTTTTATGAATTTTTTTGTTGGCACACTCCATACATATTGAATTTTTGTTTGTGTATCCTAAGTTATTAATCGTTATTTTCAGTATGGTTTATACTATATCTAAATATATTTTTTCAAAATGTCCCATATTTTTGTTTGCATTTCTCTTTTTAATTTAACAATTTTCATCTTTTTTGATTCTTTTCCTTTCATACTTTTTTTATTATTTGTTGCATTTATAAGTTTTATTTGTTTTTTGTTCTTGACTCTCGATTACATTTATAATTGGTTCCTTCATTTTGTCGTAACTTCACTGAAACTCTTCAAAAAGGTTTTCTTCCGGTTGTTCAAATATTCCTTTTCAAAATTTATTTTCAAGGTTTATTCATTGACATAGAAGGATGAACTAATACTGACTATCTACAATTAAAGAAATTTGTTCCGCTACCAGTCCAGGAAAAGAGCGCTGGGACGTATATGATATGTGAGACAACCATCGTTCTGGGCGAATTTTTTTCTCTCTTCCACTGAATGAATTTTTGGCTGTACGAGAAAGCAGGATGCACTTCAAAGGGCTAATATGCTAACGAAATATTTAAGCTAATAAAATATATTTTAAAATTTTCGTTATATTATCTCAAATATTTTTTAAAAACTTTATGTTATATTATATCACATCATTATATTATGAGAGGGAGTGGTGTTATACGGAAATTGAGCAATAAAAACATCACTTAAGATAGTCCATCATCATCTATTTCATTGGTTTTTTCGCTGCCTTCGATTCGTTTGATACCAAATGGCCTTCTGGAGGGCGACGATGTTCCAGGGAAGATCATTCGATTCATAAAGGCCACAGCATGATTGTGCGATTAACACATCTTTTCGAAATAAGATTTGGGCTTTTAGGTGCTATGTTGCTTTTGCCTCATTATTCAGAGCCTTCATAAATACCAGATGGTGATAGAATACATATTTTTATTATAATAAGCATAAATCATCACCGTTTGAGTTGTCAGACATTAGATATCTTCCATCCGTTCTTATACCATTTGGCAAAACAAAAAACGAAGTTGCGGCGGGACGATAACTGCAGTGTATTCTATAGTTGTGAAACATGGTCGATAAGTGTGGAAGATATCAAGAAGATATGTAACCTTGTTCTCTCATACCTAAGTATATCTTACTTGCATGCCGATCCGAATCGAATATCGGAAGAAAATAGCTTCACTGGAAAAAAATAGCTTAAAATGGTCATTTGCGAGCTTTTAGATTGAAATTTATCATTTCTCTTCAGTTCTTGGTCCTTAACATTTTATCATAAATTCTTGAATTTTTATTTTATCTTATATTTTTTGCCACTGGATGATTAGATGAAAATACAATTATCGCTTTAAAAAAAATTTTTTTTTACAGGAAATTCAACAAGAAAACTATTGAAGCGGGTTTTTTTAAAGCGTACAATGTGCTAAGACAGACGGTAAATTTACGAATAAATTTTTTATAAATCTTTTTTTGGTAAATCAATTAATTAATCGATTTCCTCAAATTAAATGTACAAATATAAATCATAATTTTTCTATTTTTTTTTGATTTTGTTGCCTTATTTCATAAATTTTTTTCCGTATTTTTATTCCTTTTTCATTCATAATTTATTCAAATCGTTGAAAGAAAAAAAAACATTTTTCTAAAATAAAGAATAAATGAAAGAATTGAAGGATTGTGGAAGGGATGTGCGAATCTCATTCATTAACGCTATTGAGCATTTTCATTTTTTTCTCTTTTTTCCAATGTGGTTTGGAGAAATGTTCTACACTTATCGTCATTTATCATCCGATTTGATTTTTCTATTTTCTTAGTGATTATTATTTTATTCGTTGATATAAATATTCTTTTGAAAATCTTCATTATTTTTTCCTTGTACTGAACGATGTATTTTATAAAATTTTAGCGTTTTTTGTCTCTCACGAGGTATTTAATGTGAAAATTTGCGAACTAATCGACATTTCAATAGGTTGATGAGAGATACAAGAAAGAGTTCATTAGGCTTAGATTGTAAGCCATAAACCTAATAAACCATTCATTTTTTTTCATCTTACTTCATTTTTATGTTATGTAAAGGGAAATAACCATTTTTCTTCTTCTAAAATTCTGTTCTATAGCTGAATTTTATAGGAAATCTCGTCCCACTCAATATATTAAAAGCGTTTTTTTAGAGTTTATCCGATGATGTATTGTAAATTTTGGAAAAAAAATATTTTGAAGTTTTGTTCACCCATTTTTCTTCACAATAATTCATTAATACCATCTATATTTATATATTTATATAGAAATTTTATATATATATATATATTTTTGTCATTTTTGAAATATATTTTTGTCACTTAAAAAATTAAACTGCCTCCTTAAATTCACCATCGCTCTTTTTGCATCCATTGGTGTGGTCGCAATCGTAAATTGTAAAATGCCGTTGAAAGGGAAGCATAACTGTGGTGATGGGTATCGAAAGAGTTACTACCACAGAGGATGTCGCAGTAGAATTATAAAGAATCATGGTTGATATGAAAATAGAAAAAATTGAATTTTTAATAAATATAGGGTTTTGTAATTGGATATATCGAGGTTGAAATGCAACTGCTCGTCCATCGGACGAATATCTCTTGGGATTTAGGAAGTGGAAGGTGATTTTTCATTTACGAATGGCATTTTTTAGCCAAGTAGTTTCCACTATCGAACCAATTATTCCACTTTTTTTATAGCAACAGTTTTCTTGCAAATTAAGGTTTTATGAAATATTTATTTTGAAAAAAACCATTTCAGGCGACTAGTTGTAATAACAAATTGAATGAATATTGTTGAATGGTAAGAATATTTATTTGGTCCTAAAGAGCCTGAGAGATGTTTGATATTACTGAATATTCATTGGCTGTGTTTTTCGCTATTCATCGCTGGACCTGAGGCCAACGTTAAGCATAGCCAATAATATATAGTCGAAAGCAACGTGGACCAATCAAGACTTAGAATGGCACAGTCAGAAAATTATATTTGACCGTATAGGAGATCCAGTGACATGCGGGGTTAGGCATTATAATAGTGGCTTATGGCCTTTATTATCTATCTTTGGCCAAGACTTAGGATTAAGCCAGGATCTAGTCCTATCTATCAGATGAAGCGGCTTGGAAATGCCTTACCTTCGATCCAGTCTAACCAGTAATAATTCGAGTTATCAGAAGAAGGGGAAGTTAATTTCAAAGTAAATATGGAAAAAAAACCGACGAACTTCATAGATATTTTTTCTAAAAACATTGAAAGAGCATTGTAAATTATAACATTAATTATTGTCCACGAATTTTTAGCCATAATTTTCATTCTCAATTAAAATATTTCGATATAATAAAGCCGAAGAACAATGAATCCAAAGTTGCGGATGCTAAAGGCAAGAAATTTGAAGCATTAGTCCTATCATTGAAAATGAAATCTGTTAGGGGTTCACCTCTATTTTCATCTGAAATCACTTTAATAATCCAACGGACTCGAGAAGGAATGAGATGGTGCAGCAGTTCGTATTATTAATCCTTAAAGTTAATACATTTGGATTTTAAACGAAGGATTATTATTGAATTGAAGGATTACAAATTAAAAATAGTTTTATGTTAAATATTAATTTGTTGGTTCGTTTATTATTTTCGTTTAAAATTTTTCTTATTTACAAAAATGTTTAATACTTATTTAATACTTATTGGATATTAATAAAAATTTATTATAATTTTTAAATATTTATAAAAAAAGTATTTAAAAATTATTTAAAAATTATCTAAAATCCAAATAAAGATTATTTGTTTTTCATTTTAAAAATTAAAAAAAAACTCAAAGAGAAAAATATAAACAAATTCATCGTGGTACTTAGCAAGTTAAATAAAGAAAAAGGAACAATTTCAATGAATTTCCATCATGAATTATAAATTAACTTCAAATAGGAATGTTTTCTTCTTTTTCTGCAACTAAGGATTTTTTTCCATTTAATTAGATTCGTTAAGTATCAATTTACCGAGAGATAAAATTACTGAAAATAATAGTTTGCAGCGACAATCATCATTTTCGAGAGAATCTTAAAAAAGATGAGTCGTCAACATCATTCGAGGGATAAATTTACTTTTGCCAGGCGTATATCCTTGCTCCAAACTAAGCTGCTATCCACTGAGCCATTCTATTTAATTTTGCCATAATAATACTAATAAAATATTATTATTATTATTGTTATTATTATTACTTATACTACTACTTCACCGTTCGACTATATTTTTGCTCAAGAAAGTGTGGTTTATCAGAGGAATCCGAATCACACTTGATTATCACTATCATCAGTAGTAGTAGATTAACAGTAGTATAGTTGATTATTTATCTTGCTATTATTCCACTATCCACCATTAATTTAGTGACGCACCAATTACTGTTATTCTTATCATTAATTACAATCATTACTCCTATAATTACAATTCTTTGTCATTTAATAATTAGCTTAACTCGAAGCGAATAAATAAAAGCATTAAGTATTCGTAGAAAGTAAACCATAAAGTAATCCTGGAATCCATAAAGCGTTGGTCGACTCGAGTTGTAATTGGCTATATCCTTGTTAAATCAATGCTAATGAATCATTTCATGCAAATAATATTGTTGTATTATTATTATTGCTATTATTATTAATGCTGTGAAATGCATTATTATTATTATTATTATTATTATTATTATTATTATTATTATTATTATTATTATTACCATTGTTATTATTATTATTATTATTATTATTATTATTATTATTATTATTATTATTATTATTATTAATGCAATTAAATGCATTTTAATATAAATTTATTTATTAAACAAATATATTTATTTATAGTTGGAAATTTTCTTGCAAAAATTATGAAATTCTGAAATTTCATAAAGCCTTAAAGCATTG